GGGTTAAGTGTCTTGCCCAAGGACACAACAACAGCCGTCCTCAGTGGGAGTCGTGAAGTAGGTCTCATGGTGGGCTTGAACCCACGACCTTCAGGCCAATGTTCTACAAACTGAGCCACCACTGCAATTTTTTAAATAGTCTATCAATGCAACTTTATGCCCCTTTACAAATGTGCACCATGGCAATGCACTGTGGGACGGGCTTTGCTAAGGTCCGCCCGTGCACCAGTCTGGCACACCCATGGATCTATTATAATAACTGGATAGGGTATTACTAGCTTGTAGCTGAATAACTCATGTGCTCGGGGGATTCTCGCGGTACTGCAGACTAGACCAGACTAAATTCACGTGGGTTACCCAGAAATTTTCCCCATGGAACTCAATGCAACAGCTCAACCTCAGCTGACAGAGAACCTACAGCTTTAATAAAGATCGGATTTTGTGGGGATTTTAGTGTCCCGTGTCATCCTGAGCTTTTCTTCTTCTTAAATCCTTCGGTTTTCTTTAAATCCACACTTTAGTGCCACAAACTCTGCTCGTCTGGCTCTCGCTCTAACTCCCGCTCTGATGAACTGCTCTGATTGGTCAGAGCGCGGCCGAGCCCCTCTGTGCACGTGCGTGAGACCCTCTGTGCACGTGCGTGAGACCCGGTGTGAGACCCACACACGCGTGTTTGACACAAAGCATTATGGGAAATCATCCACTGCACAGAACCGGGAGGACCAGACGATGCCCAAATACAGGAGAGTTTCCCATAGATCTTTGAGAGTTTCCCATAGATCTATGAGAGTTTCTCATAGATCTTTGAGAGTTTCCCATAGATCTATGAGAGTTTCTCATAGACCTTTGAGAGTTTCCCATAGATCTTTGAGAGTTTCCCATAGATCTTTGAGAGTTTCCCATAGATCTTTGAGAGTTTCCCATAGATCTTTGAGAGTTTCCCATAGATCTTTGAGAGTTTCCCATAGATCTTTGAGAGTTTCACATAGATCTTTGAGAGTTTCCCATAGATCTTTGAGAGTTTCCCATAGACCTTTGAGAGTTTCCCATAGATCTTTGAGAGTTTCCCATAGATCTTTGACAGTTTCCCATAGATCTTTGAGAGTTTCTCATAGATCTTTGAGAGTTTCCCATAGATCTTTGAGAGTTTCCCATAGATCTTTGAGAGTTTCCCATAGATCTTTGAGAGTTTCCCATAGATCTTTGAGAGTTTCCCATAGATCTTTGAGAGTTTCCCATAGATCTTTGAGAGTTTCCCATAGATCTTTGAGAGTTTCCCATAGATCTTTGAGAGTTTCTCATAGATCTTTGACAGTTTCCCATAGATCTTTGACAGTTTCCCATAGATCTTTGAGAGTTTCCCATAGATCTTTGAGAGTTTCCCATAGATCTTTGAGAGTTTCAGGCGAGTTCCGCTAATCTTTCAGCCCCCATGCGCCACTGAGCACAACCATTCATTTGAATAGGGCGCCATCTTGGATTGCCGGGGCTTGGGCACAACCCATAAGTGAACTTTGTTCATGAATGAGAGGAGGGATCTGTGACCCTCCTCACCACCCACAGACCTCCCTGGTGTGGTACGGCCCCATCCCCTTCTCTGTATGAAAAGGTCTACAGTCTCTCTGTAGGCCGTAGAAAGATCTAGGAGGTCTTCGGTCTCTCTGTAGGCCGTAGAAAGTTCTAGGACAGGATAGCTACTTATATAAAACAGGAATGACAGACAGCTACTCCTTTTAGCAGTCGTAATAGAATTGTAGAATATATAAAAACTCCAGGAAAACATGGAGAACACACTTAATATACATAATATACCAGTACAGTACAGGATCCCTGCATTAAGTAAAAGATTTATAGTTAAAATAGACAGGACCTTTACCAGGGAAGTCCTTCGACCCATGTCAAAGAGGCTTGGGAAAATGACTTGGGTCTTGACATTCCAGCTGATCTTTGGGAAAAATCCTTGAGGGGAATAGAATTATGCTCAATTAATGCTAGACTTCAGCTGATTCAATTTAAAGTTGTACATCGCTTATATTATTCAAAGACAAGATTAAATCAAATTTTCCCATCTGTGTCACCAGTATGTGATAAGTGTGGACTATGGTTCATTAGGTCACATGTTTTTTCTGTGTCCTGTGCTTTCAAACTTCTGGTCTGGCATATTTTCCCTTTTGGCAACCATTCATAAATTGCCCATAACGCCTGACGTTTTGACTGTGATACTTGGATGTTCAAACCTTAAACCTTTCCTAGGTCAACCCAGCAGGTCATAATGTTTAGTGTGATTATTGCTAAGAGAGTTATTTTAAGGGATTGGAAGGCCACCACACCTCCCTGTGTCCATAAATGGTTGAATGACATGATGTCTTGGGTATACCTGGAAGAGATCCGGTAGAGTTTATCTGGACAGCGGGACACGTTCATGGACATTTGGGGTTTCTTTATTGAACATGTTAAACAGAAGAGGATCCTACCCCAGACTTAAAGATACTCCTTATTTTATTTTATTTTTTTAAATGCTTTGGGCTTTAATGTATATATATACTGGTAGTGTATAAAAACCAAATAAAGAAAATTATTTAAAAAAAAAAAATAGACAGGACCATTTGTTAAATTCTTAAAACATTTGGGGAGCTAACTTAGGCGGCACGGTGGCTGAGTGGTTAGCACTCTCGCTTCTCAGCAAGAAGGTCCTGGGTTCGAATCCCGGTCGGAACAGGGCAAGTGGAGTTTGCATGTTCTCCCTGTGTCTGCATAGGTTTCCTCCGGGTGCTCCGGGTTCCCTACCACTAAAAACATGCACAATAGGTCTGAATGTAAGAGCTGATGGTCCAGTGTGTTCTGGACTCGCTTCTGTCATCACTGTGTGTGGAAGGACTGGAACAATATCTGACTCTGAACATTGGAAAGAGCTTTGGGTCTGTACCTTGGTCTGTAGAATGTGCTATATAAATAAACATGACTTACTTACTTAAAGGGGGTGGCGAGCTCCCGAGCCACAGGTTGAAGACCCTTACTCGAGGAGATTGGTATGTGTGGTAGGAGGTCTACAGTCGGTTTTTACCCTGCACAAAAAGAGTTATCTTCCTCAGCTTCATGTAAAAAGAGATGTGTTTGTGACAAACATGTTTATGTAAATGGTGAAGTGGTCTGCCCACACTGACCATTTCAACCCAAACTAATAATGATCCGAGCGATATGCCCCCGAGACACAACCAGAGTGTGTTTCCAAGGTACTAGTGAAGCCGGATCTCTCTCCAACTCAGTTTAATTTTATTGAACTGCATTTACGCTGCATGTAACCACGGAAACCGATGCTTCTGAGACAAGGCCAGCAGATGCATTTATTGGATGTTATTTTGGCTGGTGCACAAAAGTTGGGCCTACCCAAACTAAAAAAATGTATTAGTGTAATAATAAAAACCATTAGAGAGCATGGATTAGACCTTCTACATGCAAGCAGCACATTATGTTTTATTTATTATTAGTGTAAGGTCTGGTATTGCTGCCACTTCTATATACATTTTGATGAGAAAATAATCTTTAGAATTATACATAGTTTGTTGGTGAAGACCAAAATACACAGGCTATGAGCATCAGATCGCAAAAAAAATGTGATCTGATGCTCTCTAGTCTCTCTCTGGACATCCTTCTGATCTCCCTCTAGTCTCTCTTTGTGGTCTCTCTCTGGTCTCTCTCTGGTCTCTCTCCGGCCCAACTCTGGTCTCTCTGTGGTTTCTCACTGGACTCTCTCTAGTCTCTCTCTCTGGTTTCATTACATGAGGCAAAGCAGGGAACATGGTGTATTTAATTGTGCTGCAGAAATGAAATGACTTGTGTTGCTGCAGTTGAGCCTCTGTGAAAATCCAATGCCAAAGTACATTACATTTAATATTGTTACGACCCGAAGGACAAAACATATTTTAAGGGCACAGAGACAGGTTTAGAGTTCAAAAAAATGATTTTATTTATACATGTTCTTTTAACTGAACTCTAGTTTTTTATTATTAATTAATATGAATATTAAATCAACCCAACCCCGTGTCCAGAATACAAAAACCCAAAGTAATCAAATTAAAGGTGGACCTGGTGGGCCAGCCAAAACAAACAAAATGGGCTGACACCGAACCAACCCTATACAGGGCCGTCCGGATCCGATGCCGGCACCCTAACTAAAGAATAAACAAAACCCAACTAGCTACACCCTCAAACGAAAATGTAACCACCGGACCCACCAGATCAAACAAAAATAAGGACAAGGAAAAATGCTAACCAAATGGCTAAAGAAACAACCAAACCATGCGGCGTCTGGGGAGGCCGCAAACCAGGACTAGGAGGGAGCGCTCACCTCAGCAGGAGTTTGCAAAAGGCAGAGAGCAGAGAGGGGCGGGAGCGCACCAAGACAGCGCTTCTTATACTCCCGACCCGAGCTGCAAAATATACAAAATAAGTTACAAAAACATTATCAAAAATGCAACCTATAAAATATACTTATACAAAAAACTATCTTACAAAAAACTATAAAATCCAAAAATACCTGGACCAAAAAAAAGATAAGACCTAAAACCAAAGGGGGGAAAAGGTGCTCAAACATAACAAATATGTATGATTACATTTAATACCACTGTGAAACATATGTTTATTTTTATTTGATTTATTGTTTATTTGGTTGGGACAGTACATGTTAATGAACACATCACTCCGGATTGTTGCCATGGCCCAATTTATATCCGTTGTCCCACATTCACACTCAAACACACACTCATCAATTCACCCTGAACTATTGCACATGTTTTTAGTATGACATTATAATTACAATTGCTGCTCTAAAGGTGAGTGCAAAGTTTGAAGTTACAAGACACCTTCGAAAGCGTCACCAGGCTCCGTCTGCTCAATAGGTGCATGGAACTGGACCTCATAGTGGTTAGAACGTCAAGAATACGCAGTAAGCTTTGTAAACGTACTATGTGTGAGTGCAATGGAGGCCAGAAGAGTTCCACATGGGACAGAGCGACAGTCCTGATGCAGAGCACAGCTGTGACTGGCCCCTCACTCTCTCTCTCTCTCTCTGCAGAGACAATGGCCTTTCTAATCCCCTCCTCTGATTGGGCCGCTGCAGATTACCCAGAGGCCACCAGCTGTCGGGAGGCGAGGCCCGCTTTTGGGCTCTTTAGCTCCAACACAAACGCTCCTGCTGCTACTTTGTTAGCTTAGGCATGTCAGCACACTGTAAAAATAGAGACACATGCAATAGCTGTGTGATGAACTGTCACTGCATGTGTGTATTCATAGAGGGGGGATGTAGGGGCACAGCAGCCTCATGCCCCACTCCAAATACGAGATGGATTAAAAGATCGTCTCAGCTCTCACACCCGCTCTGAGGTCACATAGCTCAGGCTGGGCCCTGTCTGCTGTGGTCACTGAGACGTTTGGGGACATACAATACACAATACAATTTATTCTTGTATAGCCCTAAATCACAACAGAAGTCATCTCAGAGGACTTAACAAAACCATTGAAATCACAAACACAGATCACAGAAGAGACATTGTGCTCTTATCCAGAGAGCACCAATCTATGACACCCATGGATGATTTGTATATTTTGAAGGCCTGACTGACAATCTGGCAGCAGATTGTGGCTGCTATTGAATCAGATATTCCAAATCTACATCTGGGTTTTAACCAGCACAAAGTTTTGGACGCTGTGCTTCTATCAACAAACCGGGACCATTGGGACTTATATAACTCCTCAGAAACTGATAGTATGAAATTAAACATGCACCCAAATTGAACCTATTTCCATATGATCTGTGTCCAGGATTTCACTTTTGATTCAAGATTCAATCATTTGTCATTCTCACAAAAACAGCAGCTTCACATTTAGAGCATCACTGTGATAATAATGCATATAAAGTTGGCAGGATGTAAACAGCACAGGGCTGTAAGAGATAAGCAGAACAGTAACAGTTAGCTGCAGTGAGTATGTTAGCTGCAGTGAGTATGTTAGCTGCAGTGAGTATGTTAGCTGCAGTGAGTATGTTAGCTGCACTTATGTTAGCTGCAGTGAGTATGTTAGCTGCAGTGAGTATGTTAGCTGCAGTGAGTATGTTAGCTGCAGTGAGTATGTTAGCTGCAGTGAGTATGTTAGCTGCAGTGAGTATGTTAGCTGCAGTGAGTATGTTAGCATGTATGGTAGACCAATAAATCCAATTTTATGTCACGAGGTGGGGTGCGACGAATGGAGGACCCAAACGCAGGAATGCAAAAATAATGATTTAATAAAATAATGTCCAACGTGAAAACAAATCTCAAAAAAATACAAAGGAACCAGGAACAGAACTTGACAAAACAATAGACCAGCAGCAAGGGGAGAGGAGCACAGGTACATACAGACACAGGTACATATAGACACAGGTACATATAGACACAGGTACATATAGACACAGGTACATATAGATATAGACACAGGTACATACAGACACAGGTACATATAGACACAGGTACATACAGACACAGGTACATACAGACACAGGTACATATAGACACAGGTACATATAGATATAGACACAGGTACATACAGACACAGGTACATATAGACACAGGTACATATAGACACAGGTACATATAGACACAGGTACATATAGACACAGGTACATAGACTCAGGTACATATAGACACAGGTACATATAGACACAGGTACATATAGACACAGGTACATATAGACACAGGTACATATAGACACAGGTACATATAGACACAGGTACATATAGACACAGGCTCATATAGACACAGGTACATACAGACACAGGTACATATAGACACAGGTACATATAGACACAGACACAGGTACATATAGACACAAGCTGCGTTTCCATTGAGCATCAAATTTCGAAATTTGAATTTGCGCATCATAAAATGTCTAATGGAAACGCGCAAATTTCGAATAAACCACAGTTTTTCGATAAAAAGTTAATGCGCTTAAAATAGGTGGTTTTTTGGACGTATCGAAATTATGTTTTTCGCAAAACGGCGGCAATGGAAACACTTATTTCGATATAGCGGAGGAAGCCGAGCTGAGCTTTATTCAGTGAGTTTTGGCTGCGCTTCGTGTGGAGACTTGGGAGATACGTGGGAGAGGCATGGGGGAGAGACGGGGGAGAGACGGGGGAGAGGCATGGGGGAGAGACGGGGAAGAGACGGGGGAGAGACGGGGGAGAGACGGGGAAGAGACGGGGAAGAGACGGGGGAGAGGCATGGGGGAGAGACGGGGGGGAGACGGGGGAGAGGCATGGGGGAGAGACGGGGGAGAGACGGGGGAGAGGCATGGGGAAGAGACGGGGGAGAGACGGGGAAGAGACGGGGAAGAGACGGGGGAGAGGCATGGGGGAGAGACGGGGGGGAGACGGGGGAGAGGCATGGGGGAGAGACGGGGGAGAGACGGGGGAGAGACGGGGGAGAGACGGGGAGAGGCATGGGGGAGAGACGGGGAAGAGACGGGGGAGAGACGGGGGAGAGACGGGGAAGAGACGGGGAAGAGACGGGGGAGAGGCATGGGGGAGAGACGGGGGGGAGACGGGGGAGAGGCATGGGGGAGAGACGGGGGAGAGACGGGGGAGATACGTGGGAGAGGCATGGGGGAGAGACGGGGAAGAGACGGGGGGAGAGGCATGGGGGAGAGACGGGGGAGAGACGGGGGAGAGGCATGGGGGAGAGACGGGGGAGAGGCATGGGGGAGAGACGGGGGAGAGACGGGGGAGAGGCATGGGGGAGAGACGGGGGGGAGACGGGGAAGAGACGGGGGAGAGGCATGGGGGAGAGACGGGGGAGAGGCATGGGGGAGAGACGGGGGGGAGACGGGGGAGAGGCATGGGGGAGAGACGGGGGAGAGACGGGGAGAGGCATGGGGGAGAGACGGGGGAGAGGCATGGGGGAGAGACGGGGGGGAGACGGGGGAGAGACGGGGGAGAGGCATGGGGGAGAGACGGGGGAGAGACGGGGGAGAGACGGGGAGAGGCATGGGGGAGAGACGGGGAAGAGACGGGGGAGAGGCATGGGGGAGAGACGGGGGAGAGGCATGGGGGAGAGACGGGGAAGAGACGGGGGAGAGGCATGGGGGAGAGACGGGGGAGAGACGGGGGAGAGGCATGGGGGAGAGACGGGGGAGAGGCATGGGGGAGAGACGGGGGAGAGACGGGGGGGAGACGGGGGAGAGACGGGGGAGAGGCATGGGGGAGAGACGGGGGAGAGGCATGGGGGGAGAGACGGGGGAGAGACGGGGGAGAGGCATGGGGGAGAGACGGGGGAGAGGCATGGGGGAGAGACGGGGAAGAGACGGGGGAGAGGCATGGGGGAGAGACGGGGGAGAGACGGGGGAGAGGCATGGGGGAGAGACGGGGGAGAGACGGGGGAGAGACGGGGGAGAGGCATGGGGGAGAGACGGGGGAGAGGCATGGGGGAGAGACGGGGGAGAGACGTGGGAGAGGCATGGGGGAGAGACGGGGGAGAGGCATGGGGGAGAGACGGGGGGGAGACGGGGGAGAGACGGGGAGAGGCATGGGGGAGAGACGGGGAAGAGACGGGGGAGAGGCATGGGGGAGAGACGGGGGAGAGGCATGGGGGAGAGACGGGGAAGAGACGGGGGAGAGGCATGGGGGAGAGACGGGGGAGAGACGGGGGAGAGGCATGGGGGAGAGACGGGGGAGAGGCATGGGGGAGAGACGGGGGAGAGACGGGGGGGAGACGGGGGAGAGACGGGGGAGAGACGGGGGAGAGGCATGGGGGAGAGACGGGGGAGAGACGGGGGAGAGGCATGGGGGAGAGACGGGGGAGAGACGGGGGAGAGGCATGGGGGAGAGACGGGGGAGAGGCATGGGGGAGAGACGGGGAAGAGACGGGGGAGAGGCATGGGGGAGAGACGGGGGAGAGACGGGGGAGAGGCATGGGGGAGAGACGGGGGAGAGACGGGGGAGAGACGGGGGAGAGGCATGGGGGAGAGACGGGGGAGAGGCATGGGGGAGAGACGGGGGAGAGACGGGGGAGAGGCATGGGGGAGAGACGGGGGAGAGGCATGGGGGAGAGACGGGGGGGAGACGGGGGAGAGACGGGGAGAGGCATGGGGGAGAGACGGGGAAGAGACGGGGGAGAGGCATGGGGGAGAGACGGGGGAGAGGCATGGGGGAGAGACGGGGAAGAGACGGGGGAGAGGCATGGGGGAGAGACGGGGAAGAGACGGGGGAGAGGCATGGGGGAGAGACGGGGGAGAGGCATGGGGGAGAGACGGGGGAGAGGCATGGGGGAGAGACGGGGGGGAGACGGGGGAGAGACGGGGGAGAGGCATGGGGGAGAGACGGGGGAGAGACGGGGGAGAGGCATGGGGGAGAGACGGGGGAAGAGACGGGGGAGAGGCATGGGGGAGAGACGGGGGAGAGGCATGGGGGAGAGACGGGGAAGAGACGGGGGAGAGGCATGGGGGAGAGACGGGGAAGAGACGGGGGAGAGGCATGGGGGAGATACGTGGGAGAGGCATGGGGGAGAGACGGGGAAGAGACGGGGGAGAGGAATGGGGGAGAGACGGGGGGGAGACGGGGGAGAGACGGGGGAGAGGCATGGGGGAGAGACGGGGGAGAGACGGGGGAGAGGCATGGGGGAGAGACGGGGGAGAGGCATGGGGGAGAGACGGGGGAGAGGCATGGGGGAGAGACGGGGAAGAGACGGGGGAGAGGCATGGGGGAGAGACGGGGGAGAGACGGGGGAGAGGCATGGGGGAGAGACAGGGAGAGGCATGGGGGAGAGACGGGGGGGAGACGGGGGAGAGACGGGGGAGAGGCATGGGGGAGAGGCATGGGGGAGAGACGGGGAAGAGACGGGGGAGAGGCATGGGGGAGAGACGGGGGAGAGGCATGGGGGAGAGACGGGGAAGAGACGGGGAAGAGACGGGGGAGAGGCATGGGGGAGAGACGGGGGAGAGGCATGGGGGAGAGACGGGGAAGAGACGGGGGAGAGGCATGGGGGAGAGACGGGGAAGAGACGGGGGAGAGGCATGGGGGAGATACGTGGGAGAGGCATGGGGGAGAGACGGGGAAGAGACGGGGGAGAGGCATGGGGGAGAGACGGGGGGGAGACGGGGGAGAGACGGGGGAGAGGCATGGGGGAGAGACGGGGGAGAGACGGGGGAGAGGCATGGGGAGAGACGGGGGAGAGGCATGGGGGAGAGACGGGGAAGAGACGGGGGAGAGGCATGGGGGAGAGACGGGGAGAGGCATGGGGGAGAGACGGGGAAGAGACGGGGGAGAGGCATGGGGGAGAGACGGGGGAGAGGCATGGGGGAGAGACGGGGAGAGACGGGGAAGAGACGGGGGAGAGGCATGGGGGAGAGACGGGGGAGAGGCATGGGGGAGAGACGGGGGAGAGGCATGGGGGAGAGACGGGGAAGAGACGGGGGAGAGGCATGGGGGAGAGACGGGGAAGAGACGGGGAAGAGACGGGGAAGAGACGGGAAGAAGAGACGGGGGAGAGACGGGGGAGAGACGGGGGAGAGACGGAGAAGAGACGGGGAAGAGACGGGGAAGAGACGGGGAAGAGACGGGGGAGAGACGGGGAAGAGACGGGGAAGAGACGGGGGAGAGACGGGGAAGAGACGGGGGAGAGACGGGGAAGAGACGGGGGAGAGACGGGGAAGAGACGGGGGAGAGACGGGGAAGAGACGGGGGAGAGACGGGGAAGAGACGGGGGAGAGACGGGGGAGAGACGGAGAAGAGACGGGGAAGAGACGGGGGAGAGGCATGGGGGAGAGACGGGGGAGAGGCATGGGGGAGAGACGGGGGAGAGACGGGGAAGAGACGGGGGAGAGGCATGGGGGAGAGACGGGGGAGACAGGCAAGACCCGTGTCTATGGTTCTGTGCGCGCGTCTATGGTCCGCGCTCGGTACATGAACACGCGCGTTTGCGGAGCTGTCAAAGCAGCCACAGTTTCTCCCGGGGTCAGAGGTCAGAGAGGATGAGAGCCGCAGCAGAAGTTCAAAGTGTTGTTTACTTCTGTTGCCATGTTGACGTACTAGAAACTAGTGAATAAACGCGCGAAAATAGTGTATACTTATTCGAATATGTCTTAATGGAAACGGCCGCTTTTGCGAATTACAGGTTTTTCAAATTTTGAAATGTATCGAAAAAGTTTTTGCGCATTATTCAATGGAAACGCAGCTACAGACACAGGTACATACAGACACAGGTACATATAGACACAGGTACATATAGACACAGGTACATACAGACACAGACACAGGTACATATAGACACAGGTACATATAGACACAGGTACATATAGACACAGGTACATATAGACACAGGTACATACAGACACAGGTACATACAGACACAGGTACATATAGACACAGACACAGGTACATATAGACACAGACACAGGTACATACAGACACAGGTACATACAGACACAGGTACATACAGACACAGGTACATATAGACACAGACACAGGTACATATAGACACAGACACAGGTACATACAGACACAGGTACATATAGACACAGACACAGGTACATATAGACACAGACACAGGTACATACAGACACAGGTACATATAGACACAGACACAGGTACATATAGACACAGACACAGGTACATATAGACACAGGTACATATAGACACAGACACAGGTACATATAGACACAGACACAGGTACATATAGACACAGGTACATATAGACACAGACACAGGTGAAGCACATCAGGGCGGGGCAGACAATCAAGGCAGGGGAACAGGACAGGAAGTTAAACTAAAACCAAATCAACTGAGAACTGATATCAAAATAAAATCAAAGTAAAAAATAACACAATTCACACGGGGACATTTTATTTATAGAGTGCTTTTCATACTAATTAATACATAACCCTAACCCTAATGCAATGAACAGTAAAAACTTGAAATCTTAGGCCAAAAAAAAGGACTACAATAAATACTACAAATAATAAGGCGAAAAAAATAAAACAAATATTTTAGGACAATGTTTTATTCTCGATTTGTACAGATGTGTGTGTACATTCGTGTTGCTGTTGCCTAGACCTTTGTGTTATGTGTTATTGCTCTTCTGGTCACAATTGATCGTGGATTTAGAATTACAGATCAAGCATCCAATCTCTGATGTTGTAAAGGCCTCTATTGAACCTTTCACCACTGTTTGTGAATAAATCCATTTTCAAAGCCTGTCCCCATCACAGACAACAGGTTCTGCTTTCTCCACTTCTCCCAGGGTTCAAACGCCTGCTGTCTTTATCCAGTCTTCTAAATGTCAAACAGGCTTGTGGTGCGCACTCTCTCTAATGTGTGTGTGTGTGTGTGTGTGTGTGTGTGTTCCAGGGACCACCGAGCGTGTGTGTCTCATCCAGGGCACAGTAGAGGCCCTCAACAATGTGCACGACTTCATTGCGGAGAAGGTGCGTGAGATGCCCCAGAGCAGCCAGAAGAGTGAGCCGGTCAGCATTCTACAGCCGCAAACTACAGTCAACCCAGACCGCATCAAACAGGTGCGACGCAGAACGGAGGCTCTGATAACTGTTTTCTTCACTTTTGGCTAGGCTTCCAGAGGATCGTTTTTTTGAAAAGATTTCTTAAGCTCCATCAATACAGACTCAGTTCATAGCTTTTATATTAAGCTAGTCACCAATCATCATTCAGCCAACTTCCATCAGCCAAGTTAATTTAAATGTTGATATGTCATACTTAATTTTAACCTTAGTTATTTATTTTTTGTTGATATTAATGCAATAATAAATAATGCACTTCATTTAGTGCTTATTTGGGCACTCAAAGATTTCATTATTCATTCATTCATAACCAGTAGTGATAAGCTACTACTGTTGCCACAGCTGACCTGGGGCAGACTGACAGAAGCGTCGGAACCAGTTTTTGCCATCAGCCCCTCCCACTGCCACCAGCCATTCACTGTGGGGGAAGTGTCTTTGTGGTTGTGCTAACGACACAACCACAGTTTTGTCCTTTAAAGGGTCATTTCAAGCTTTTGACCATTTTAGCACCCTGTTTGATCTATTCAAATGCTTTAATTCCTAAATTAGTGATGACAAATCATCTACGATAACAAGGAACAGAGCTGCTTTTGGACTGTATTGCCTCTAAATTAGACAGTGGAATTTTTACAGATTGGAAGAAAATAGCTGCTCATACACACTGCATGCGTCATGTGAAGCGGAGAGCAGAGACTGAACTCCCATCTCCGGATTGTAGCCTAGGGCTAATTTGATTTTTTTGTCCCACAGTCGCGGTCACAACACACACACTCATTCACCCTGAACTATTTTACATGTTTTTAGTTGTAGGGGAAATCTGGATTACCCGTAGGAAAACCTACGCAGACACATGCAGAACACGCAAAAATGAAGACAAACATAATACTGTACATGTGGATTTTGCTGCTCTACATAATTTCTCTGGCCCGTACTGTCCTCTACACTTCTCCATAAACTAGACATGGTGCGTTCCGATGTGTGCACAGGTGCGAGACGCAAGCGTCCTCTGCTGATGAGAGGCCTACGTCACTCGCTTGCAGTGTGTAAGTGTCTGCTTCATCCAAATATTTGTAATAATAATGCGTTGGTTTTATATATCGCTTTTAGGGACACTCAAAGACGTGTCACATTATTATTTATTATTATCATTATTCTTTCACGCCATACACAGTGGTGATAAACTACTACTGTAGTCACAGCTGCCCTGGAGCACACTGACAGAAGCGAGGCAGCCAGTCTGTGTCATCGGCCCCTCCGACCACCACCAACCATTCACACACACACCAGACTCATCTAGGCAATGTGGGTGAAGCGTCTTGTCTTAGGACACAACAACAGTTTGGCACTTTACAGCCGCAGCCGCTCCCTTGTGGCACGTGGTGTTCCCAGAGGTCTCCCATCACAGTACTAACCAGGCCCTGCCCTGCACAGCTTCAGAGATCTGACAGGACCTGGCTTTTTACATGCAACCCTTAGTCAAACCATGCACATGCTGATCTGTGAATATAAGCATGAAATTAAAAGCATAGAAATAAATACCTCAATCAATACTTAATGAATATTTAATCAGACCACACACTCAGTGTTCTCCCTCTCTCTTGTACTCTCACACGTCCTTCTACTTATGATCAGTGCGAATTGTGTCCAGAAGCTAAAGTACAGCCATGTCCTGTCCGCACCCACTCACTTCCTGTCACCTTTCCCCCCAAACACGAACACCTGTTTCCTTCTTCCTGTTATTTTCTGCTCTACCAGAAGTCATCAGATACAGAGGCTGGACGCCTCTGCTGGGCAGTGGACAAAATGCACTATCAGGAATGGAAGTGGACAGTGTTTAAAGAATAAGATTAGATACTTCTGGAGACCTGTTCAATGTTTAATTCAATTGTTACTTCTGTAAATGTAGTACATTCAAAGAAGACATACCGGGCTTCCGCCGGCTGTACCGGCTCATTATTATACATATGAAATTCCAAGACAGGGCACATTTCATACACAAGGCAACTCAAGTGCTTAAATAACACATTTTACCCAGAGTATCCCTGTAAAGTGAGCGCAGGGTTGAAACAAGGCCTGACTGATCAGCTTCACTTACAAAGCGTGAGAAAAAAACATTTGACACAAGTGTCCAAAGATCGTCTGAGGCCAATGCTTCTGCGTCTGTCATTATTCTCATTTGTGTCCTTATGAAATCCAAATCACTATAAACAAATGGCAAATATCTGTTTAGCATTAAGTTATTCTTCACAGCTCAATCATACTTCATAGCTCAGTTATTTTGAAATTGTATCCAAATCAAATTACACTTTGCATGTCAGAACAATCATAATTAGATATATAGTTGCATACAACTATAGGGCTAGAGATGACATCACAACTGCAGCATGTGGAGATGTGTGAAGAGAAGAGCAAAAAGGCTGCTCATACACAATCTGAATATATACACCATTTAAACTATAAGTCAAATCCTTTTTTTATGTGGAACATCTTTCTGCAATTAACAACTTCCCTCGTGCAGTCACTCAGTAAGGGAGCTTACACCTCTCTTCTCACCTGTGTGCCTCTCTGATAAAAACTAGTTTGACTGCAGGTCATCTGGACAAAAGCACACAAAGAATAGGCCGAAGTTGTCATTCTGTTTTACATGGTTAGACTCCCATGGAGGAGACTCCAAACCAACGTCTTCTAATCTCTCCTCCACGAAGCAACCTACTGTACTTTATTCAATGAAACACAGTCTCAAAACACACCCACAAACAGTCATGGGGAAGAACAGTTTCAAAGGGAAGCCCTCCATATTAACATGCAAACAGTCAAACATATGCATACAGGACACAGGAAGCAAGGGGACAATGGCCCACATCTGCATGCAGCACCTCCTGCCAGACCTGTAGGAGTTGAGAGTCAGAAATCAAGTCGCATATAAACAGTGTTGGGCACGTTACTTTGAAAAAATAATTAGTTATAGTTACAAGTTACTTCTCCCAAAAAGTAACTGAGTTACTAACAGAGTTACTCTACTAGAAAAGTAACTAGTTACCAGTAAAAGTAACTATTGCGTTACTTTTTCATTTTGTTCTGGAACATAATGTGCACTCGACGTGCGCAATTCTACCTTTAACCTCAGTGAGTTTAAATATTGCCAATATTTCCATCTTGAAAAGGCTGTTTTTCTGCTGAAGTCCTCTCCATCTCTCTCTGTGCTGTAAGCACTAAACACCAACACCCGCCACTGTGAATGTGGAAACACCAGTGAAGCACTGACTTTAGCCCAATCAGATGAACATATATATATCATATAAATCAACTGGACAATTTGTTTGGCCACAGCAGAATATGTTTCATGCCCGCATTGTTTGTTCATACAAAACGCAAAACTATGAGTTATGGGTCTTACCTTATAAATGACCTGCACAGTCCACTTCGGTTCAGACCAGTTCCGTGTTTAAGTCCAGATAATAGTTTGAGCGTAGATATGTAATCCTCCATTTGGAAATGAGTTTTAAAAAGTAAAACAAAACGCGTGTGTCCTCCATAAACTCCTCTGTTTTGCTGCAGCCGGTGTAACGCCGAGATACACTGCCTTGAAGAGATGCACAGCCTCAGCTGTTTATGATGTAATGCAAACCTGCGCGTCTCACGGCAGCCGAAGCAAACCAAGATGGCGGACCGTGAATTTCTTTAAAAGTTAAAATACGAACGAATTAAGACACGAATGTCACTTTTAATGCAATTTGAGGCGAGCTGTTGATGGTTCCGTTTTGTCACATGGGGGTTTTAAGAGTCAAAGTTTTGTGTAAAGTTTAGTTTAAGCAATCAACTGCGCCTGTGAAACCACAAAGCTAATGTTTTCATAGCAGTCCTCGGCTGCTGACGTAGGCTGATGACGCGTCCTGTGGCAACTCTACAGCTTACAACTTACAAATATTTCGTTTGAACACACTATTGTTAATCATATTAAATACTGTACAATACATGTATTAAATAAAATTTACTATTTCCATTATCAACCCGACAGACCAGTTGTAAGTTGTAGAGTTGCCACAGGGATAGAGACCCGGCCGTCCCTCCAAACTTTCATCTCAAAGAAGGAGAAGACTGATCAGAGATGCAGCCAAGAGGCCCATGATCACTCTGGATGAACTGCAGATAACTACAGCTGAGGTGGGGATGGTGCGTTCAGGGTGATGAGCTGTGTTGCTTTTACGCCAAACATATCGTTTTGCATTGTGGCCAAAAAGTTCGATTTTGGTTTCATCTGACCAGAGCACCTTCTTCCACATGTTTGGTGTGTCTCCCAGGTGGCTTGTGGCAAACTTTAAACCAGACTTTTTATGGATATCTTTGAGAAATGGCTTTCTTCTTGCCACTCTTCCATAAAGGCCTGATTTGTGCAGTGCACGACTGATTGTTGTCCTATGGACAGACTCTCCCACCTCAGCTGTAGTTATCTGCAGTTCATCCAGAGTGATCATGGGCCTCTTGGCTGCATCTCTGATCAGTCTTCTCCTTGTTTGAGATGAAAGTTTGGAGGGACGGCCGGGTCTTGGTAGATTTGCAGTGGTCTGATACTCCTTCCATTTCAATATAATTGCTTGCACAGTGCTCCTTGAGATGTTTAAAGCTTGGGAAATCTTTTTGTATCCAAATCCGGCTTTAAACTTCTCCCCAACAGTATCTCGGACCTGCCTGGTGTGTTCCTTTGTCTTCATGGTTCTCTCTGTGCTTTAAACAGAACCCTGAGACTATCAAAGAGCAGGTGCATTTATACGGAGACTTGATTACACACAGGAGCATTCTATTTATCATCATCAGTCATTTAGGACAACATTGGATCATTCAAAGATCCTCACTGAACTTCTGGACTGAGTTTGCTGCACTGAAAGTAAAGGGGCCCAATAATATTGCATGCCCCACTTTTCAGTTTTTTATTTGTTAAAAAAGTTTAAATTATCCAATAAATTTCGTTCCACTTCATGATTGTGTCCCACTTGTTGTTGATTCATGACAAAAAATTTAAATGTTATATCTTTATGTTTGAAGCCTGAAATGTGGCAAAATGTTGAAAGGTTCAAGGGGGCCGAATACTTTCGCAAGGCACTGTATGCTAACATTAACATTAGCGCAACTTAAGCTGTACAACAATCACTGAAGAAATGCTACAAAAGCAACGCACTAATAGGACTAACAGCGTCCGAGGCGGTCCCGCAGGTCTCTCCCTCAGACCAGTCTCTCCAGAGGATACGATGTAAGCTAGCTCTGTTCAGGGCTTGGTTTCTTCTTTGATCATGTTGTGGCTTTAGTTCCTCTTCTCTTCTTCACTGTTGTGTGGTTTGGGCTGTTTTGCTGTGTCTGCAGTTACAGCCAGAGGAGTTATAGCCACTTATGCTAACATGCTACTGTGTTTAGCAGCGCTGTAGAGGCTAGAGGACGCAGCCTCGTTCTGTGATTGGAGGAGAGCGGGCGTCACGCTAAGTCTCTACTCAGCACTTTTTACGCCTGAGTTCATACACAGCTGAATCAATTAGCTCAAATTTTCAATTAAATTACGGATTATATTGCAACTTGTATGTAGTAATAAGCATTTTTATGAACTCATTATAGAATAAATTGGGTATAGCATCTTTAAAGAGTGAATAATGGATTTATGGTTCAATAAAGACAGTTGTTGTTGTTGTCCCAATGCTTGGTTGAGACTCGAAAAAAAATTCTTCATTAGAGATTGAAGGCCCTCATTTCAGAATCAGAATTAACGTCCGCCAACGTTAGATTGTTTTGGTACCTATTCGGCCCGGCTAGAACCAGGGGCAAGCTGTTACTCAAAAAGTACTGGATAGCGGCTAAAGCGAGCCGGTGGAAATACCCGCAAACTGGGAAGAGTCAATATAGCGGCTGCCTGTTGTCTAAAGCCGCGGAGAGGCGAGTTGGGTCCGGTAAAATTGTATGACGCGCTAAATTAGTAAAACAAACGAAGGCTGGATCCAGTTGCGATGACATTGATTTAATTAATAATAAACGCAGCGGTATAGGCCAAAAAATGCGTGGTGATTATACAGAAAAAATTTGTGAATAAACTTAAGCCAGAGAAAATAGCAAAAATAAATCAAACAAACTATAATAGCGGTCAACAAAAATTATGGGCTCCCAAACAGACCTCTCTCCCCTTTCCGTGCCCCCGCAGGTGTATGCTCATTCATAATTTCGTGTACCGCGCCCAAACACACATGCACGCACACACACACACACACACATGCAGGCCCTCACGCACACGCCCACACTCACGCATACATGCACGCCCACAATACATCACTCCTCCAAACATCCATTCATTCACACAGTGCCCAAACGTGTCTCCTACAGTCACGGTGAGCCCTTTAGTACTGTAGGAGTCAATTTCTGTCATTATCATGTTGGTGTGGGACATTTACAATAAATCTGGGTAAGAGGAGGTGTGTGTGTGTGTGTGTGTGTGTGTGTGTGTGTGTGTGTGTGTGTGTGTGTGTGTGTGTGTGTGTGTGTGTGTGTGTGTGTGTGTGTGTGTGTGTGTGTGTGTGTGTGTGTGTGTGTGTGTGTGTGTGTGTGTGTGTGTGTGTGTGTGTGTGTGTGTGTGTGTGTGTGTCTCTTTGGGATTAAGGGATGGTGTGTGTTTGTCTTTGGAAGTAAGGGATGGTGTGTGTGTGTGTGTGTGTGTGTGTCTTTGGGAGTAAGGGATGGTGTGTGTGTGTGTGTGTGTCTTTTGGAGAAAGGGATGGTGTGTGTGGGTGTGTGTGTGTGTGTGTCTTTGGGAGTAAGGGATGGTGTGTGTGTGTGTGTGTGTGTGTGTGTGTGTGTGTGTCTTTGGGAGCAAGGGATGGTGTGTGTGTGTGTGTGTGTGTGTGTGTGTCTTTGGGAGCAAGGGATGGTGTGTGTGCGAGCCTACAGCCTGCATACAGTTGATTCCATTTTATTTGACCCTATGGTTTGTTTTACTTTTGGCTGACATTGGGGATTGTAATTGCCAATGAATCAAGCAGGTTGTCTTTAGCAAGTAAGTGAGTTACTTATTCGGCGCCTTTTCACAGACAGAGTCACAAAGCAATTTTTCATGGGCACATACTGGACCTGTTTTACATGTTTTTATTGGTAGGGAAAACTGGAGCAAATGCAGACACAAGAACAAACTTGCAAATTGCACACAGAAAGGCCCGATCTGCACAGAATGCACAGAATATTCTAAAATAGTTGTTCCTAAAACATGACATACCAGCTTCTGTTTATATCAAGACCCAAAATAAACAAAATTGTACCAGTAATCTTATTACATCAAAGTTTGTCTCAGTTTGTGTGTCCACAAGTAGAAATCACCAGTCTAGAGTATGCTCTCGGAGACCAGTTGCTATTGCTGCAACCCATCAGTTTACCTTTTGAAGAATGTACAGTATTTGTATTGAATTTCTATGGCCACAGTCATTCTTTCTCATGATTCTCAACACACTGATAATCTATTTACACTTTTGAGCCTTCCAAAGTGCTTTTCTCCAAAGAAACTTTGCTCTGAACAAATGTCTCGATTGACTCGGTCCACTGTAAACAAAAACTGTGTGATCCCAAAAAGATCGTCGGCTTTTGTACAGTCGGCCTTCTCATGTCGTGCCATTAAAAAGTGGAACCAGCTTCCGGACAGTCTGAAATTGTCTGTAGATCGGAAACATTTCACTATTAATTTGAAAAAGCACATTTTAAACAGTCAATCGTGTCAACATTTATGAACTTTAATAGCATTAGAAATGTTATTTATTTTATCCTATGTCATTTTAGGAAAACATTTAACATATATATGATTGTATTTTTGTGTGAGGTAAGTTTGCTTTTAAATTTGTGATGTGTGAATCTGTGTGTTCACTTGCCCAGGGACTACAGATGGAAAGTAGCTGCAGCTAAATCTGGTTCAAACCATCTCTTCTTTTGTAAAGACTAATGGTTTTTGTACATTGTCCCTGTTTTATAAACAATAAACTAAACTAAATCAACCATCAAACAATCATACAATACATTCAGGTTTATCCAAAGCAGTGTCATGCTTGAAGACGCAACAACAGGATTTGAACTCAAGGAGTTTCCCTTGAGAAGAAAGTAAAATGGGGCATAGGTTTCACAAGGCGTTTCAGTCAGGCTGCTCTCAGTCTCTGAAATAGTGTTTTACTGCCATAGTGCTGCAGTGGTTTCCATGGCAATGCTGACCCTGTGCTCAGAGCCTCCATGGCCTCCCACTCTCTCTGCACCTCTGCAAATCACTCAAGCACCTGCATCTTTTTTTTCAGCACCCAGCAAACACACATTCAATCACAGATACTCTGACACCACAGAGTTTGACTTGTGTCATCCTCCAAGCCCACACAACACTTTTACCATGTGTTAAAATTCAGCATTCAGCTTCACACACTTAAAGACCATTGGTGTCCTTGTTTGGGACTTACCTATTGAGGGTTAGGTAGTCTACTGTATAAGACAGTTTATAACTTTACTGTCCACTCTTGTGTCCCACAGGCCAAGCTCATCGTTCCAAACAGCACTGCAGGCTTGATTATTGGGAAGGGTGGAGCTACAGTGAAAGCAGTGATGGAGCAGTCCGGGGCGTGGGTGCAGCTGTCCCAGAAACCAGAAGGCATCAACCTTCAGGAGCGCGTGGTGACCATCAGCGGGGAGCCGGAGCAGAACCGTAAAGCTGTGGAGATTATTGTGCAGAAGATCCAGGAGGATCCTCAGAGCTCGTCTTGTCTCAACATTTCCTACTCTAACATCACGGGTCCTGTTGCCAACTCCAACCCCACAGGCTCCCCCTACGCAAACTCCACCGAGGTAATGCCTGCTGCTGCCGCCGCCGCTGCTGCCACAGCCTCCTCTCTACTGGGCCAGGCCGGGCTGGCAGGAGTTGGGGCCTTCCCCACCACTATGTCCAGCTTATCAGGAAACGACCTGCTGACCATCACATCTGCTTTGAACACCTTAGCCAGCTATGGCTACAACACCAACTCCCTGGGACTGGGGCTCAACCCAGCCGCAGCCTCGGGCGTCCTGGCCGCTGTGGCAGCTAATGCTAACCCTGCAGCCGCAGCTGCAGCTAACCTCCTGGCATCCTATGCTAGCGATGCTTCGACCAGCGCAGCCCACTCTGCGGCCAGCCTAGGGGGCTTCTCACTAGGGTCCCTGGCTGCAGCTACAGGTGCCACAAACGGATACTTGAGTGCTGCCTCCCCTCTAGTGGCATCATCTCTGCTGGCCACAGAAAAGCTATCTGAAGGTGCCAAGGAGGTGGTGGAGATTGCTGTTCCTGAAAACTTAGTAGGAGCTATTCTGGGTAAGGGCGGGAAGACCTTAGTGGAGTACCAGGAGCTGACTGGAGCCAGGATCCAAATATCCAAAAAGGGCGAGTTCATTCCTGGAACGCGCAACAGGAAGGTGACCATCACAGGCTCACAGGCTGCCACCCAGGCTGCACAGTACCTGATCAGCCAGAGGATCACATACGAGCAGGGCGTCCGTGCAACCAACCCACAGAAAGTGGGCTAAAGCTCAGAGCCAATGAGAAAAGGAATGGGGGCTTGGAGGAGGAGTTTATCAATATCAAGAATGTGGGAAGGAATGGTCTATGCCGTTTTCTTCAGCAAATTTTCAGTATTCTTAAAAAAGGCATATTTGCTGAACCCGAGGAGGCAGAGGAGTGAGATATCTATGTATAAAAAACAAGAAAAAAGTGTAAAATGTAAATAATGTTTTATTATTCATGTTCTTGGGGTTTTATTGTGGGGTATGTTTTGTTCTGCTGGTTCCGTCTGGTATCTGTACTATGTGACACCAGCAGTTGATGGGGCTTTTCAGTTGCTTTGTTGATTTGTCATTGCCCTAAACATGTGCGGGTCACTTCAGCGGCCCCTGGCCCAGTGCAGCGCAGACAAGCAGGAGTGACTGAAGTGACACACAGAGCTGTACTGTCTCTTCACTCTCTCCTGCAGTCTTGGCCCTCTCATGTAGGAAGGGCTCATGTGACCTAAAGCACTGTGCTACCGGCACATGTCAGCACTGCAGTCTGCCAATGTTCACTCGTTTTTATTTGTATTTTAACAAAAATTATCATTTTATTTATTAAGGAATCTACCCCTGAAAACTCAGCTGTTCTTTGTAAATCTGTGAATTCAGGTTGACATGAATGTAAATGAGACTATTGTTTATGTGGAATCTTTTTTTATTTAATGAAGATGAATAGTGTAATATATGTCTTATTTAAGTCCAGTCATAAAGCCACCTTGGCTGATAATAATACAGCTACTATGTCCAGTGAGAACAGGGAATCCTCCACTGACCTGACTTGTGAGGCCATATCAGGTGCTAGATCTGAGGATGCAATTTCACAGCAGCACCCCCTGCTGGTTCTTAGGCTCATCGTGTCTGATCCTTCATAAACTCAAATTGGCTCAGGCTTACCTCACACATTTTACATAAAGCTTCTAAAAAGAGTTATGAGACGAAGCAGAACCAACAGGAGCGTGAGGATGGGGGTGGGCCTCTGCTCAGATTCAAGCACTGAAGTCATTACTACTGAAGAGTCAGGAGCGACTGTACCTCTGACCTCCCTGTGTCCACTGCCAGTGAGCTAGGGGCCATATCCAACAGTGTAGGGGCTCCCATTCCTGTCTTTTGTTTCTTTTACAATCGGAACACACTTTTTGTCTTAATGCACTGTGAAGAGAGGGCTCGCTCCCTCAGCCGTGAGGCGTGACAAGTCCACAGCGTTGTGACTCGTATGGCAGGGATCTGTGTAATATGTTGTGTGTATTTCAAGTAATGAGGTCCATAAAGAGGATCAGTGAGTTGAGGTCAGCTGGAATCTGTTTCGCTCTTATTTTAACGATTGTAAAATGGGTGTGGGTTGGTTTACAGTGCAAGGCAGACCCAAAACCTAAATTTCGAATGCATATCACAGATGATTGGTCTTTATAAAATCCCTGTTGTCCTTGTGTACATATCCAAAAAGGGAAATTCCATATAAAACAGCTTACAAATTGGCTACTGTATGGACACATGTGCATATCATTGGGCCAAAGGTGCACATGGGGCGTCGCAGCACAGTGAGGCGTTTCTCCACAGCTTGGTAAGGAGGCTTCTTTTTACACCATCTAACACATCCACCCTGTCCTCAGCCATCTCCTCTGAGCACTCCCATCCTAACACCCTCCTCCCATCACTCCATGGGCAGCAGCTGAAGGGCAGTGCCTCCAGTTGAGCACACATGCGGTCATATCGGTGAGGGCAGTCTGGGGTGCTCCAGAGAGAGCCCATAACAACGAGGAGTCATGGCTTTGTGTCTATGATCTTAGACCAGTTCTATTCAATGCACAGCCCACGCGTTAGATCCGGCTCTCCAGGCCAGCTGATCGGACCCATGCTTTGTCTAAGTATGATGAAAAATGTTTGTGTAATACTTACATTCTGGACTCGCTTCTGTTGATAGCCAAGTAGTTTAATACTGGTTCACTAAAACTGGTTGTATTTAATTTCGATTTAGCATTGGGGATTTAAACTGCAGCCCTCAGATAAACCTGGCCGGTGTTGAATAGCCTTGTCTAAGGCCCTAAAAAGCATGACTGAATACTTCATGACATGGTTACAATGATCGGTGAGGAATGTATAGGTGAATGTGCAGCCGCTGGAAGAGACGGATGCAGTCTGTTAGGATCAGTGTAATGTGACAATTACTGAAGCAATATGTGTGCCGTCCCTATGTCTGCGCCAGCCAGTTTACGCAAGTCGACTTTCATTTGTAAAATGCTGCTATTTGATAAAACCTGTTGGTCTAAAATTTCTGACTCAAACATATCGATGCGCCTATTTAGCTGCAGAGGCTGGTCTAAACTGGTAGTTTTATAAATTTGTGCCAAAATAGCATTCATTTAGTGTGTGTTAGATAAGAGATTACTTACTTTTATAAACAAGAAAATGTGAATAGTGCCAAATGAGCATGTTTCCTCTTGCCTCCTAGAGGGATTGTACACAGACGTCTTCTTCGAACCTAGTTGACAAAAGCATGAGTGAGGCCTGTGCTACCCACAACAGCGCCACCTCTCTGCGGCACAGGAGACTTAGCATAGCGATAGGTCAGCATACTAATGCTACATAAAATGTGACTAGATAGCATTAACACCGCCTTTTATAGCCTAGTAAGAATATAATAAGTATTTTGTGACATAGATGTTATCTTTTTTGCACGTTGATATTGCATGAAATCCACGTGAAGCATGAAAAGAAAAAGGAAAATAAATAAGTGTCTGTCCATTTAGCATGTGAATAAGCTCAAGCATTTGGATAGTTTTATATGCATACAAATGCTTTTCATTTCATGATTATTGTACACAGTGGTGGAGAAGAACCATGTTCACAAGTAAAAGTACTGCACTTCAGCCATGTTTTACTGTTTATATTGAATCCCTTTTACAATGACATGACTGCATCTAAGAGCAGGTATCTACACTCCCTAACTACATTTCCAAACGGTAAATTTGATTTTTCATTGAGTACTAATTATAACTTTAAGACAAGCATTAGCTGAGAATGCAAAAATTAGTTTTGTTTGTTCAATCAATTGAAACGAGTTGCTACTTGATTGTTATTTCCTGTGTCAGTACTTTTACCTTAGTAGCTAGGTTACTTAAGTTCTTCTTCCACCACTGACAGTATCCATAAAAGAACAAACTGTGGCGTGTGCTCACAGGATATTGTGCTTCTGTGTTTTGTCAAGGCCCTGTGTGAGCGACACGTATCTAGGCACTCAGAGGCTGGGGGACGTGACTGTTGTTTAGGGTTAGGATTAGCTGGTCTGATACTGATAAATAACTGTGCAATATTTAGTGTGTGGTACGTGCAGAGCCAAAGACACTCAAGATCATGTTTGAAGCATGATGATGAGTGACTTAGCTTTGTCCACTTCTAGAATTCCTGTAGAAAGCCAGTGTCTAAAAGAAGGCTGCAGTATGTGAACAAAGATCTGCAATCACATGTTTACTTAGTGTTTTAAATTTACCTTCAGTTCTAGCCTCTCCCCTAGTGCAGGAGGGGGGTTTAATGGCCTAATGTGGGCTGTGTTGAGGGACAACCCCAACAGACGCTGCCCCCAGTCGCCTTCCCCACTCATCCCCTCCCTCCAACAGCTACCGTGGGCGTGTCCGGTTTAGGGCTGGGTGATATGGTGAATGTAATTGTGGCTGCTTGATTAGTTTCATAGTATGTCTAAGAATCATCACATACACATTTTGTGTCACTACTCCTATTAGTCAGGGGCTGTAACAGTGAGTCAGATGATTCTACCCATTCACTCCATCTTATTCAAGACAATGCATTCTATTATAAAAAGTGTATTTGAGTCAGGATAAAGTTGAGATTGTCTTGCCATATCGCCCAACTCTAGTCCTGTCCATGCTCGGTGTCGTGGGCCTCCATCGTAGCACCAGCAGCCGTAGACTGCATCTGTCATACCACTGTTTCTCTGGTTCATTGTATTTTCTTGGTTTTGATTTGTACTGTACGAGCAGTTTGAACAAAATGCCATTTGTGTGTGTAGCCTGTTTACTTCCTAGTCCCTGCACACCCACTCTCTCTATCCATGCCCTGTCCTTTTTTGCACTTTCACTGCCCCGCACCACACCCTCCATGAGTGTCCCTCTCCAAACCTGTGCCAAACCTGAGCGCTAGAGGCCACTCACTCTCCAGCATCTGCAAGGGACTTACTGTATCTTAGCCTTGTTTTTTTTTTTTTCTGGGGACATCCATCTCTTTTGGAAGCTCCCATGAAGCCAGCATGCTCATAACATGATGTTGCTCATGTACTTTTAAACAGCACCTTGCCCTTACCACCACCGCCACCACCTCCTCCTCCTCCTCCTCTTCCTCCTCACCCCCACCAGGATTAACCCCGGCAGGTCGGCTCTGTCTGGACTACCTGCTTCTCCAGCCGCCCCGCTCATGCCAGCCGCTTTTCTAATCCCCATCCGGTGTTGGGTCATTGATTGTGCCATAGTGTGCAGGGGCTCCTCACTGCTCACCCAACACCTCCTTCTCTACTGTCTCCTTCTTCTGCTTTTAGCTTCATCTTGACTTTCTGTGGGAAAAGTTTCAAAAGTCCATTAATGTATTTTTTATGTTTTTTTGTTTAACATCCAAACACACACAGCAAGGCTATGTGAAGCGGAGCTGCCATCCGTCTTCTCGAAACTTTGAACTGTCTCCCTTTCATAAACTTTTATTGACCTTCCTCCTCAGTCCTTTGTGTGTCCATCCAACTGCTTGGAAAAGTAACTCTCCATTCCATCCCCAAAACCTCTGAGACTGTGCAATGCTAGCAATGATCAGATATTTTTTGTTATGTGGCTTAAAGAGCCTGTACCCGATTTTTTCCCTCATGTAGTTGTTGATGAGTTGTTAAAAGCAGTTCCCAAAGTTATTACGTTTTTACTGTGTTTCAAATCTCAATGTAGAGCATTTCTTAGAGCTCAACCTTTCTACTCTGAAGTCCACATTTGTCTGCAGGAAATTGTAACATATTCCTAATAGATTTTTTTTTTTTTATTCTACAATTCTTTGAAGAAACGACAGACATTTAGCAATTATGTTGGAACTATTTCCATTCTTAAAAACCTACCAATAGAAATTTACCTTTTCTGAAACAGATTTGAAATAAAGTAAAATTGTAGCTTGTGGTCAACAAAGTGGATGAGCCTTAGTGCAATTTCACAGTTCAATTAATCAATTTCTCAGAAAACCTATGAATAAAATACATATATTTTCCTCCTGAATTGTATCGTTAGCCATGATGATCATTCTGAAGACTGTAACTTGAGCTTACACTCAACCATACACTGATTGCTGTAATTTGTTTGAAGGCTAACAATGGAATGAGAAAAGTATTTTTTGAAGACAATAAAAGTCGGGTGCAGGGCCTTTAACATCGGGAATAACTATAACAAAAGAGTCAGAAAAGAACAAAATACTGAAGTATACAGTTGAAGGAAAAAGTTAATTGTCTCCACCCTGGTTGTAAATACTGTCATGTGTGGAGCGGCGGAGCGGGCAGCATCAGAATGACGCGAGGTAGAGCTGTAGATGTCAATGTGGATGTCACCATTCTTACAGCGCGCATTCCAAAACCTCATCGATCAGCACCGCAACCATCTCCATAGACCTGACACGCCGTTCAGACCATCACATTGCTTGTTGGCTTATGCTGCCCGCCCCTTCGTCCTGGGAACACCACGTCAGCTATTTATAATTTTAATGCTATCACAATAACTAAGCAAAAGAAAAAAGAGAACGACTGGAAAAGGTGAATTAATATTATCATTGTTTTGTTTCATTAGTAGTATTTTAGTGGTTGCTTTTAACAGCATCATAAATGACTTCTAAAGTATTGACTATTTAATGTACTTGTAGCATTGTGTTTGTAAAAAGAGAAAAAAAATACCTAGTGAGTTGTGTTTCTTGACTTGTGGATTACCAGTGAAGTGGGCAATCTAGTGCTAATATATCTCTATCTGATTTTTTCTTTTTAAGGATTATTTTGCAAAAGCAACAGCAGTCATTATAAATGTTCATTTTAGCATCACCTGTCTTCTGTTGTCTTATTCTTCACATTTCACCACACTCCACATCTTCACAGTAACACATGTGGGGAGGTTCCAGGCTGCATGTGTGTCCGTGTGGTGAGTGTGCGTGCATGGCCGTATGCAAGTGTTTGGGACTGAGTGTGGACTCTTCAGAGAATCAAAAGAAATTTGATCATAGATGTGGTAAGCTCCAGCCAAAAAATCATAAGATTGTGCATGTATTTGACCTTTACATGTCCAACTCGCTGTTATCTTCAATTTTGGGTTCCTGTATACATTGCAACCATTTTAGTTTTGTTTACACCACAATCAATCCAATCCCAAATTCTTGAAAGTTGTGTTTGCACTATTAAACAAATAGCTAAAGCTGAATCTGGAGTGTTGGCCTTTCTGTGGCAACCTCAGTATGGTTGGAACCTCGGAATATAGCTTCATTCTTCTTGTTCCCTGGAACTGATAGTTCTTCCACATTGACAAGTTCAACTAGTGTCTAACCACATTATTTATTACACAGATACATACAATTTACACAATTCACTACTCAGGAAAAAAATGTTATTAGCTGAAAGTGAAGTGAGTAAATAATCAAGACTGAAAAAGCATGTTTGAAAATGAAAAGTAAACATGATGTAGCTTATGCTTGACATAATATTTAAATATATGAGACACTAAAGATCTTGAACAAGAGGATTGGCCCGTGTGAAGACCAATAGAGTCCAACTTAGCAAAACCTGTTTCTCTGCACTTGAAAACACAGCGATTGTGTGTATGTGTGTGCATGTGTGTGTGAGGGAGGGACGCGGGTGGGCGTTCTGTCTAGTCTTCACCAAAAGCTAAACTTGTTGAGCTTCCATACGCTTTGGATGGAACCTCCTGTTATAGCTGCAAAACCCTCATCTTGTGATCTGACAACCTGAACGTCCATAACCCCTCCAGTCACCTGACCAAACCAAACCAACCAATCACCACTGCCTCCCCTGTGCCCCATGTGACATCTAAAACACGTGCCTCGTTGCTCTCACTCTTTTAGTGTCCACAGCCCGGCTCGAATGGTGCACTTGTGAAAACAGACACAAACCAGGTAGCCAGGTAAACCATGTAGGTGGAATGCAGCTCAACAAAAAACTTCCAGTGCCGGCCCAAGCCTTTTGGTGGCCCTAAGTAAAATTATATTTCAGGCCCCCTTAAATATACATTAGGGTTAGGGTTATTATGAGGGAATTGGTTCATATGCCACATTTCAATCTTCTTGGGCCCCCAAACCGAACCATAAACAAACAATAATGAAGAAAGTAACTGTTCATGTCCTGTCCTGTCCCAGCAACTTTAGTTCACAGTTTTAATGAGGATTGAGGTATAACAGCGATCTCCCATCCCTCACTCCTCACCACATACCAGAATTGTTTCCATAGAGCTGTAGACAGAGGAAAGAGCTGCAGACACCACAGAACCCCCCCCCCCAGCTGTCTTAGGCATAGGGTGCACTGTCCGCTCCACCGCCTGGAGACTGTCCATACGTCTGTGTGCGTGCTGCATCCTCCACAAGGTCAACATCCACATTAACCCGTCTCCATGCCAACCACAGGGAGCATCCCCGCAGCATCCAGCTCCCAGGGTCATGGCGGCCGAGCAGTGCTGGGAAGTAGCTTTAAGCCATCAAATTACGCTATTCACTAATTGACATAGCCATTTTGATATAGTAACTTTTTATTTTGGTGGTTTTCGGAATGCAGTTTCTTTATTTAAACAAAATGTAGGGATGTCACAATGTGAAATACTGTTACGACGGGTGTGAGAACAATCAGCTACTGGTTATTTTATAGTATTGGTTCTATGACCAAACAACTGTGTAATTGTTTTATGTAGATATATCTAGTATCTAAAGCCTGGTGTTGATTGCACTTTTTAAATAAGATTTATTCTCACAGATACAATTACAGAGGTTTTTACTAAGGAACCAAATTGTCTCAATCTCTCCTCCACTCTGACCGTTGTACCATGGTGACAGATCATAGAGGCCACCCTATATATCAAACATGGAGTACGTGCGTCTATTGTGCACTGGAGGCCAGGTTGAGGCTATACCCCCCCCCCCCCCCCCCCCCAACCTAGAAATGGGGTTGAAAATGAATGAATGAATTAAGGAATTATTGACCTAAAAAAATATCCCTAAACACAGGTAAACTGTTAAACGTGTTATTGTTGAGGGAGAAAAGAAGACTGCACTTTAAATGGTGGATGTGTGAGAGCTTTTTCTGATAACAAAATGCAAAACGAACCGTGAAAAGTGTTTACACTCTTTTATGCAACTCAATGTGAATGTATAATATTCAGACTAATTGGAGAACTTATCAGTATACCTCAAAAATTACATATTACTGCCATATATATTTTATCGGGCTGTTAAGTGTTCAGATGTAATGATGTCTCCTTGCACAGCAATATTGGCAAAACATTAGCTTAACTATAAAACATCATACTTACAAACCTTTTTTTTTGGACTTTTAAAGACGCTTTACAAAATAACAAATTAGCTTAACTTCTGAAATTTGAATCCTTTGATTCCCTTTAAAAATGTAAATTTTACCAATGATAAAGTTTCTCCAAGAGAAAACGCATTTGCTAACATAGAGGATAAAAACCCAATACCCCTAAAAAATGTATCCAACTTTTCCATTAGAATCATTTCCACTGGTCTCTGCAGGTGTACGCTTTCAGTCTCAGTAAAAGAAACCTTTTAAACTATTTCAGAGAGAGAGAGAGAGAGAGAGAGAGAGAGAGATTTAAAGCTGCTGTGAAGTGCAGTTATATTTTAAAGATAGGCCTCTGTACATCACTGAACAGCTGGAAGAATGATGCCAAGTAGCTGCTGCGGTTTTGAACCCAGGAGTGATACTTGACGTCACACATAACAGCTCCATACATTTTCAAATTTTTCTTCCCACCACTGCGGCTGAGGTCTTAGCGCTAAACGTTCCATCTGACCATCCATGCAACTGCCTCTCCAACCTTCTTCACTAATGTTTACAACCTAAACAAGACCAACCAAGCTGTTAAGAAGAATGTCCAGGACAACTTTATACTAAGAAAAAAGAACTTTTGGCTAACTTTTTGATGTGACCCGAGGTAATGTACATTTTGAATCATTGCATGTGGATATTTTTTGATTTGCAATGGTTCGTCAGGAGTCATTCCAGTCTCCCAGAGAAGCGCTTATGGACCAGTGAATGCTCATGTTTCATACAAAGCTGTTATGGTTTTGTTTCTTTGTACATGATTGTGGGCAAAAAATAAACCATTGAACCAAATAATTTTGGTTAGGAACATCTCCATTCACTCCTGGGTTGTGTTTTTGATGTGTCACTGCATACACATGGATCATAACAGGAACAGGTTCAGTGACTTCCTGTACAGAACAGCAGTACTGTAATAAGCCTCCTCCACATCTCATCAAGCAGTCTTCTCGTATTTTCAAAGAAGACATATTCTGCAAGATTGTCTTTTTTGAGTTTTTAACCATGTTACAGCATTGTTTCTCATCAAAATCAGATCAGGCGCTTTGGACCCCAACACGTCCCCCAACACATCCCCCTGCCCCTTCTGTCCAAAGGCATCTCAATTCTGGTACACTGATGTATCCTTACACTATGACATCATGTTCATAGTTGTTTAAAACAAAAGTATTGTCTCCATATTACTAATGGTAATTTCCTCTGTGATACATGTTCTTTACAACCACATGGCTGTGTTTGCTGCACACAATGTTTGATTTTTATTATTTGAGGAAATTCAACTCCATCTGGTGGTAGCAACCGGATTTGCATGCTAGCGGTTTTCTTTACCCATGTATTGTCTACATAGGAAATTATTTTCCATTCTGAAACATAAAATACAGTAAACATTCTCAATATTGTGTTTCAGGAACACAATAAACACAAGTAGCGTTAAATATGGTTACTTTAATATTGAACATGACAAATGTGTTCTTTTAACAGGCATATGCACAGAAGTGGGTGGGGATTTAGCAGTAGATGATAGAATTCTGAAAATGTCTCTTCTATGTATAATAACTATGAGTTTAGTAAAGGTAAATGTAATTAAAATACTCACTTAAACCTCCTTTGAAACAAAAATATAGGACCATTTGTTTCTGCTGTCCCACTTTTTTGTCCATTCCGAGACGTGGGTAGAGTAGCCAAAGAAGCCTTCAAAATACCTTTACTCAATTAATTGTGCAAAGTAGTGGTCCATGATGAATCTCTATGGTGTTATAGTTGTGGTTTAAGCACAGACAGTGCACTCCATCTTCTCCCATGTTTCCGGCAGCTTTAGCGTGGAGAAGGGATGGCCCAGCATGTCCATCTGCCACCCTGCCATCACCATGTGTCCACCGGGCCCACCTCGGCATCTCCAGACCCCCCATGCCATCGTCCCAGTGGGAACCAGACTTCACCTCCCCCACTGTACCGTCTCACCTCTCCCTCCACAGAAGCACTTCTGCGGGACCGGCCACCATCACCCAGCGCGTTTCTATTGGTTTGGGGGGTTTGGTTTACACTTTGTCGTGGGCACAGGACACAGGAAAATCAGCCGTGTTCACGGCTGGGCAGGAGAATGCTGGTCAATTCTTTCAAAGCTTTCAAACTCAACAAAATATGATGTATTCAAATCCATGTAACTTGCTCACAAGTTTTCAAACGCAAATATTATTTGGACTACCTCACTCAGCTTCTTTAAGCTAAGATGTCATCCGAGGCAGGCACTCTGAACAGTCCATCTATTCAAGAACGGGTCCTTTTGTAAGTTATGGAAGCTGGGGACAAGATACACAATGCTACAATTAAATGACTTTATGAAAAACTAAGAACTGTGTTGCCAGTTAACATGACATAAGAAACATCATCACTCTCAACAATTTGTAGAGAACGCCAACAAAATCTGTAAACTGTAGTTGTTTTAGAACCCTTCACATAAATGTTGAGGCCCTCTATTGACGAATAAAAAAATCTCAGTACAGATAACAATGTGCCTCAACAATGGCCTTGTTTGCTTTGTCTTTTAGAGCTATTGGCTCTTAAAGAATGTACATGATCAACCGTTCCCCTTCCACAGCTGAGGAACATTTAGCTTCAGATTAAGGGACCTGTAATGAAGAACACAGCACAGGAAAGCATGTAAAAAAATATGGAGTTCAGACTGCTCGTGATTCATCCACAAAGGTTTGAGATTTGAGTGGTTTGATCTTTCACATGGTTTAATAGTTATATTATTTTATTACATATTTCATCAATTGGCTGACAAAAAAAAATCCATTTCCAAGTCCCAGAATATTGGATCCATAAAAGGTTATTGATTACAGGGACCCAGCAGCACAACTGAACCTTTCGCCCGCTAATTCAAATGTGAACACACCCTCGACTTCGTCAAATGCTGCATGATGAACACTGAAATGGAGTTGACATTTGATATGATGTGTCCTGAGGAGTGAAGGAGTGAAGGTAGTCTACATACCGCAGATACATTTGAAAAGCCTTCCTGGGATGTGCCTTCTGTACAATGCTGGGATAAATGTACATGTTCCATAGAGTGACCAGATCTCTATTTTCACATCACTCCTTCAGGTTTGTGTGGGGAGTATTTTTTATTTTGTATTTTTTTAAATCTATCTTCTGTCTAACATGGCTCATTTATATAGTCATGAGACCTCCAATGATTGACAAGATGGAATGTGTAGGATATAAGTGCCTTTGTATATTACTAATATTGTAAATATGTAATAAAAATATTTGTATAAAACCATATATTTCTAAACAATAAAACCCATCATCTACCACTGCACCAGTGCTACATGCATTCTGTTACAGCTGGAAAATAGCCAGATACAAAGAACAGATTATTCATGTTTATTGTGGCCCTTGAACTGGTTCTTGAGAATCTCATTTGTCATGTCATGTTTGAGCATTTCTTTGTTTCGCAGCAGCCGAATCTCGGGTGCATCCAATTTCTAAAATCAACCTTCTTACCCTTCACATCTCTATCTTATCATTCCTATTGTCATTGGAACATTACCCTAAGTGCATTTTAAATTATCTTAAAATGTGTTATATGTATGTTTGCCAAACCTGATGCTGCGCTTAGCAGATTAAGAAAAAGAAAGGAGCTTTCTGATGGAATTGGATGCAGCTGAATTCTGCGCTCTCATGCGCCCCCCTGGGGCTGGCCTCACTTGGTGACATTACAAGTCGTGGTTGGGTTAGGGGTTAGGGGTTAGGGGTTAAGGGTTAAGGGTTAAGGGTTAGGGGTTAGGGT